AGTTGTAGGGGAGTAATAGGTGAACAAACTTTGATAGTGAATTTGGATTATAAAATACTTGGATTTTCTCTTTGTAAGCACTATTTGCAGATTACATGGTTTATAAATATTGTATGTGCAGGAAAGGGGGACATTTTTAGCCTGTTTTTCAAAAAAGAAATAATTTAATGCATGTAGGCACTTAAATATTATTTCACCCACCCCATATGACACAAACGCTTTCTGGAAAAGAAATAAGTAGAGCAGGAAATATATCGATAGTGGTTAATATGTGACGGTTGGCTTTGACTGCTATAGGCCTATATAGGGCAAGTGCTATAAAACATTCAGCCGTCTGCTTCATTGTTCTGTCCTGTCCTGTAAAGGGGTTTGCAGGGATGCAGGGATGGTGCTGGGGATGTCAGAGAGCGTAAGGTGGGACTGGAGAAATTAAAAGAGAACAAAGAGGTAAAAACAGACTCTTTTCCTAGGGAATATACATGCTCTCCCTCTTCTATGGGATGGGCTGGGTACCGTGTATGTCCCTGTGTATTCAAAATTATCCCTGGGGTCCCACTGCTGTCACATCTGTGCACAGTCCTCAGACACAGAGAAGAGTGTTGGAGGTTGTTAGCACATCTCCCTCTGGAGATGAAACTGGGCTCAGCACCAACAAGAGAACACCAGAGGGGATTTGTCTCTCCTCCATGCTTGGATAATGGCTATTCCCTAATGCCCAGGGAAGAATTCAGTTCAGTATGTGCCTCACACTATATTATACACTCAATCCTGAACAGCTGGGCTGTTAATGCAATTTGAAAAGAAGAGAGGACTATTCACCATCTATATCTAATGTATTCATAATAAGTCTCTCAATGAGGAGGTATAAAAATTTCCTGTTTCTCTATAGCCAAAGGAAGCAGAGCATTAGGCAGGCATCCAGGGAGCCTCATTAACAGACATAACCAATGTGGAAAATCCAGGGGGACTTGTTCCACATTGCTATTAGTAATGGCAATTTTTCTTACCTGAAATATGATGGTAATTTTCTCACTTTCAGAATTCAATTTGCCTCAGGATGAATTAATAGGTCTTTTCTTAATACTTACTGGTTAGCCTCTATGTTCCAGATGCTACACAAAAGTAAAGCATTGTTTGTCTTTTTTTTTTAAACTTTATTTCTTAGGAAACAAAACACAGAAGTCATCACAGAATGATTTGTTTGCAAGAAAATTGAAATAATATAACATAAAATGGTAGTGTCTTATACAATTTTGTATTATGTGTGAAATACCTCCTCTAAAATTTAGTAAAATGGAAAACAGATGACAAAGAACTAGTATGAATAGAAGCATTTTGATTGTAATATGGAGTGTAGTTAAGAACAAGGTTAGCAGTGCCGAAGCAAAGGCATTTTCCTTCTAGATTTTACTTGCAAAGTGAAGCCACCTCTGTGGAGTCCCTCACCTCAGAGCCGGTCACAGCAGCAGCCAAATTAGCTTCTGCATGAGTTGGTGGATTATAGACATTAAGAATGGTTGACACTGGATAGAGCCAATAACCAAAATTAAAGACATTTGCTAAAGATGATTTTCATCTAGAAATAGTTACTATTGAAATATTTTCTCACTATAATTAAAATGTGCCTATGGTGGTCACTCATATGTCATAAAAAGCTATCTGTGTCTAGGAGGATTCATGCTTTCTTCCTCACCCCTCACCCCCGGCCCTTTTATTTTTAGTTGACAGTGATAATTGCACATACTTATGAGATACAGGGTGATATTTCAATATGCGTATACAATGTATAATGATCAAATTAGTGTAATTGGCATAACCTCAAACATTTATCATTTCTTTGTGTTATGAACACTCAAAATCTTCTCTTCTAGGCCAGGCGCGGTGGCTCAAGCCTGTAATCCCAGCACTTTGGGAGGCCGAGGCGGGTGGATCACGAGGTCAAGAGATCGAGACCATTCTGGTCAACATGGTGAAACCCCGTCTCTATTAAAAATACAAAAAATTAGCTGGGCATGGTGGCGCATGCCTGTAATCCCAGCTACTCGGGAGGCTGAGGCAGGAGAATTGAAATTATACAATAAATTATAGTTAACCATCTTCATCCTACAGTGCTGCAAAACGGCAGACTTCATTCCTCCTATCTAGTGTTTTCTTTTTTGTTGAGACAAAGTCTAGCTGTCACCCAGGCTGGAGTGCAGTAGTGCGATCTCAGCTCACTGCAACCTCCACCTCCCGGGTTCAAGTAATGCTCCACTCCTCAGCCTCACAAGTAGCTGGGACCACAGGCATATACCACCACACCTGGCTAATTTTTTTATTTTTATTTTTTTAAGGTAGAGACACGGTTTTATCATATTGGCCAGGCTAGTCTTGAACTCCTGACCTGAAGTGATCTGCCCGCCTCAACCTCCCAAAGTTCTGGGATTACAGGCATGAACCACCACGCCTGGTCCTAGCCTAATTTTGTATCTGCTAACCAACCTTTCTATCCTACCCTCTCTGCTACTCTTCCCAGTCACTAATACTCACAGTTCTACTCTCTATTTCCATGAACTCCAAAGGTTTTTTGAGTTCGAACATATGAGTGACAATATGTAATATTTATCTTTCTGTGCCTGACTTGTTTTGCTGGACATAATGTCATCAGCCTGAATGGCAGGATATCATTCTTTGTTATGGATGAATAGTATCCCAGTGTGTGTTTATGCCATGTTTTTAATCCATTCATTGGTTAAGGGTTATTTAGGTTATTTCATATCTTCACTATTGTGAATAGCTTCAGGAAACATGGGGTCGCAGGTATCCTTTTGATGTGCAGATTTTCTTTCCTCTGTTTAAATACCTATTACTGGGGTTGCTGGATTATATGGTAGGTCTACCTTTAGTCTTTTCAGCAACTTCCATACTGTCCTCCATAGTGACTGTACTAACTGATATTTCCACCAACAGTCACATACATCTCCACATCTTCACCAGCGTTTATTATTTTTTGTTTTGTTTTTAATAACTGCCATTCTAACTAGGCAGGGATGATACCTCGTTGTGGTTTGTATTTGCATTTTCTTGATCATTAGTGACATGGAGCATTGCTTCTTATGTTTGTTGGCTATTTATGGTTTTTTTTTTTTTTTGAGACAGGGTCTTACTCTGACCCAGGCTGGAGTGTAGTGGTCCAGTGATTGTTCTTTTCAGCCTCAACCTCCTGGGCTCAGGCAATCCTCCCACCTCAGCCTCCTGAGTAGCTGGGACTGCAGGTGTGCACCACCACTCCTGGCTACTTTCTTTGTGTTTTTTATAGAGATAGGGTTTCACCATGTTGCCTAGGCTGGTCTCAAACTTCTGGACTCAAGTGATCCACTGGCCTCAGCCTCCAGTACTCTCAAAAGTACTGGGATCACAGACATGAGCTACCATGCCCACCTGCATGTTTTCTTTTTTGAGAAATGCCTATTTAATTCTCTCGTCCTCTTTTTAATTGGATTATTTATTTATTTTTTTTTTTGGTGGTGAGTTGTTTGAATTCCTTGTATATTCTGGATATCAGTCCTTTGTAAGATGAATAATTTGCAAATATTTTCTCTCATTCTACAAGTTGTCTTTTCACGCTTGATTGTTTCCTTTGCTAGTATGGACACTTTCCAGTTTAATATAGTTCCATTTGTCTATTTTTGTTTTTGATGCCTGTGTTTTTGAAGTCTTAGCCATGAAACCTTTGCCTAGACCAGTGTCTTGAAGCATTTCCCCTGTTTTCTTATAGTAAAGTTAAACAATAAAAGAAGAAAGGAACAAAGAATATACAAAGTCATTAGAAAATAATTAACAAAATGACCAGGAGTTAAATACTCATTTATAGCCTTAAATGTAAATGGTTTAAATTCCCCAATTAAAAGATATGGACTGGCTGAATGAATTAAAAAAAAAAAAAACAAGACACGACTTTATACTGCCCACAAAAACATTCACTTCACCTGTAAAAGCACATATAGACTGAAAGTGAGGGATGGAAAAAAGTATTCCACACAAATGGGAACGAAAAGTGTGCAAATTAAATAGGTAGACTCCAATACAATAATGGTAGCAGACTTTTTCAGCATTGGACAGATAGATTATCTAGAAAGAAAATCAACAAAGAAACATCAGACATAATCTTCACTACAGACCAAACAGGCATAATAGACATTTACAAAACATTTCATCCTACCCCTTTGTTAAGACAGAGGAACAGAATGTGCATTTGGACCATTTAATCACAGTTTTGGATTATTAAGGTACGAATTCGAAAAGAGGGACATATTAACTAAACTGTGTTGAGCCCATCAAAATGGTTAGCTGATTTGTCAATAAATGATTCCTACTGAGAATTTTGCAATATTAAACTAATAGATACAGTTTTTTTATATTTTAAAAACCATAAAAGGAAAGAAAACATGGTTTCCTGAAATTCTGCCTTTCCTAGAATTTAAATGCCTTTCTCAGCATTGTTGAGATAGACACAGTGTTTCCATATCCTTTGTTTCAATGATGGCGTGAATAAAGTGGATATGCCACGTGAAGCATTCTTCTATGAGAGACACTTAAGCGTTATCTCCAGTTTGTCTCTATTCTGAATATTCTTTGATAGACATCTTTGTTTTCCTGAATGTTAGACTTTATTTCCTCAGAATAGCTTTCCTGAAATGAAACTACTAGATCAAATGGTATGAATATTTTAAATCCCCTATTTTCAGCACATTTCTAAATAGCTTTGCAAAAGGATATTTATTAATTTGCCTTACACCAGCAAAAATCTATGGAAACGACAGTTTTATCCCAGGTTTAACAAGCTGTTACATTACTTTTTTGCGTGTTTATTCTATTCCTTGCTAGCTTGGCAAGTTTTGCTACTATTCAGTTGCAGTTTTGTGTGTATAACTGCTCCTTATTTTTGTTTTCTTATCAATTGACTTATTTTTCCCAGCTTCTGCCTCATCTGCTTTCCTCACCTTTATTCCTTTGTACAGGCTCACATGATTCATTCAGCTACTGGGTGGATGAAAAGTCCCCAGTGGGGCCTGACCAAAGCCTAGCTATCAAACGCCTCGCCAGGATCTCCTTGGTGAAGAAGCTAATGAAGAAGTGGTCGGTAACTCAGAACCTGACATTTCGGGAACAGCTGGAAGCTGGGATCCGCTACTTTGACCTGCGTGTGTCCTCCAAACCTGGGGATGCTGACCAGGAGATCTACTTCATCCACGGGCTTTTCGGCATCAAGGTCTGGGATGGGCTGATGGAAATGGACTCGTTTCTTACACAGCACCCCCAAGAGATTGTGTTTCTGGATTTCAACCACTTCTACGCCATGGACGAGACCCATCACAAATGCCTGGTTCTCCGGATCCAGGAGGCCTTTGGAAACAAGCTGTGTTCTGCCTGCAGTGTGGAAAGTTTGACGCTGCGAACTCTGTGGGAGAAGAAGTGCCAGGTAGGCGGGAAGGAGAGAGAAGCTTCCAAGGGCAAGAACTTAACTCTTCCTGCTTTTCCCGTATTGCCGTCTGTAAAATCACTAAGTCCAGGGCTCTTAGGCTAGAGGGTGTGGATTGTTTGAGATATTGAACATATGCAAACTAGTTCCTGGGCTCTAGAAGAGCTTCAAGGGCTAGGGCTAACACCTGCCAAATACTTAAAGCTTGTCCAGCAACCTGTTTGACATCTAACTGACTTCTAGTGGCCTGGCCAGAACCAGTCAAGGCAAAGTTGTCAATTTGGGCCAGTAGGTCATGCCGTTTTCTCTGTTTTCTGAGGTCCACTTTTACCCTTCTAGATCCCCTCAGGGGTAGTCTATTCCATCTTGCTTTCAAATCCGTGTCAGATAATCCTGGCCAAGGTATTGACTGATGAGGAAAAGTAGTCGCTGACTGAAACATAGTGATTCATCTCAGGAGTGTTAATATTATACAAGAATGTGAGTCATAGAAGGAGAGAGAGTTAAGGAAGGAAGAGCCTGTTGAAGGGGCTCCAACCTGGGAGAGCATTCCTTAGTCTGCTTAAGGTGAGAAGAACCTCCCAGCCTAGGGCCATGAGGGACATGCTCAGGAAGAGGAATGTCAGTAGGAGAAAAGAGCTTTAGGAGGCCGGGCGCAGTAGCTCACGCTTGTAATCCCAGCACTTTGGGAGGCGGAGGCGGGTGGATCATGAGGTCAAGAGATCGAGACCATCCTGGTCAACATGGTGAAACCCCGTCTCTACTAAAAATACAAAAAAATTAGCTGGGCATCGTGGCGCGTGCCTGTAATCCCATCTACTCAGGAGGCTGAGGCAGGAGAATTGCCTGAACCCAGGAGGCGGAGGTTGCGGTGAGCCAAGATCACGCCATTGCACTCCAGCCTGGGTAACAAGAGCGAAACTCCGTCTCAAAAAAAAAAAAAAAGAGCTTCAGGAAAGGGTTTAGTTTATGCTCTAAAAAAAAAAAAAAAAAGGCAAGTACCTTTCATTCAGAGTTACCCACTTGCTAAGCAGATACATTAACCAAAACATCTTTAAGAGGCAGATTTTTTTTAACTTAAGGAGGAGCTTTTGATTAAAAATAGGTTAAAGGTTTTTCACTTGAAAATGTTTATTAAACACGAGATATGTGCCAAGTAACCTTCTAAGGAATAGGGATAAATCAGTAAATAAATAAAACAGACAAAGATACATTGCCGTGATGGAGCTGTCGTTCTGGTGGAGGGAGATAGATGTAGATAATAGAGCTAATAAAAAAAATATATGTGTGTATGTGTTTGTGTATCACACACATGCATATTCTGACACACACCTATATCCATATATGTATATTTATTCTCTCTCTCCATATATATGTACACACACATACATAAAGTGTTGGAAACTGATAAGAGCTATGGAAAAAGAGAAGGTTAAGCATGGTAATAGGGAACCAGGATCCTGTGGGTTGGAGGGTTGATTGAAATGTTGAAAAGGTTGATCAGGAGAGCCTTCATAGAAAAAATGTCATTTGAAGGGATTAATCACATGGCTGTCTGCGGGCAGAAGCAGCAGCCAGTGCCGAGGCCCAAAAGCAGGAATGTCCCTGGCCATCTTTGTGGAAAAGGAGCATCCGGTGTGGCTGGAGGGCAGGGTCAGAGAGGTGACTGGTGATCATGTGAGCCTAGAAGGCACCGTCAAGAAGCGAGCCTTCACTCAAAGTGAGCAGAGTTCTGGCACAGGATGCTGTGGCCTGACTTCGGTCTTAAGGAGATCTCTGGTTGCAGTGCTGGGAAGAGACCAGGGCAGGAGGATCAGGCAGAAGTAAGGAACCCAGCGAGACTGTTAGCGGTCAGATTTTGCATCTGTCAGAGGGTAGAGCCAACAAGGTTTCCTCATGGATACAATTTGGGGTCTGAAAGAAGGTGAGGATTCAGGGATGACTCCCGGGCTTGGCCTACACAACTGGCAATGCCAAGTTGTTTTTGCACACCCTGAGAAGTTCTGAATGTCTTGATACCATAGAGGCTTCATGAGTTAACTCGTAGTGTCTGTTAAAGTCTGCCTAAGCCATTTTATTCACTGAGACTTTTGTAAGTGATATTTTGCTAAATATTTATCACACCTCTATCCCATAAAAGTAAGTGTATATCTGTTCATGTCTAACTTGGAGAGACTCTTTCCCAGCAGAGTTTCTCTTTTATAATATGAGAGAATAGTAACAACAGCTAACGTTTATTGGACCTTTGCAATGAGCTAGGTACGCGGAGTAACTCATTTGACACTCTCAGTGACACCAGGAGATGGGTACTTTGTTATCGTCTCCATTTTACGAATGAGGAAACTGAGGCATGGAGACACTAAGCAACTTGCCCAAGAGAACACTGGGCAAATTTTTAAATCCTGGATAGTGAGAAGCAGGATCCAGTCACAGGGTTTCTGGCTTTCCGGAGTTCCTACAGCGTCTCATCCTCTCTGAGGGCTATTTAGGCACGTCGGTGTTTTTCAAAGTTGGTGTTTTATATTCGGCTAATGAAATATTTTGCTTTTATTAATGAGCCCCTATTATCAGATCTCAGAGAATTAGCAGAACGGGAGAAAGGGATGGAGAGCTTTTGAATTTTGGGATTCAGGAAGGTTAAATTTGAGACAGACATAATTTTATACACAGCTAGTATTGGGATGGGTCGACATACCACGTACTAAACTGCTTACGAATCTGCAGGAGTAAAAGGGATCTTCAGGAATAAAGAATAACGTGGGCAGTGAATTTCTAACAGTAATGATCTATCACAGTTTTTAAAGCATGTGCTAATTTATCTGTATCATCCAACTACAATTACTTCTAAAGTTATGGAGGAAAGAGACTGTGATGACATGTCAGGAGAGGGAGAGCGTTATCAGTTAAATCCTCAGATCCCCCCGTGCTCTTTTCTTTCCTGTGTTTTTCCCACTGCGTCTCTTCTTAAAGGCTAAACACGCCGGGCACAGTGGCTCACACCTGTAATCCAAACACTTTGGGAGGCCAAGGAAGATCATCCTGAGGTCAGGAGTTCAAAAGCAGCCTGGCCAACATGGCGAAACCCCATCTCTACTAAAATACAAAAATTACCTGGGCATGGTGGCATGTTCCTGTAATCCCAACAACTTGGGAGGCTGAGACAAGAGAATTGCTTGAACCCAGGAGGCGGAGGTTACAGGGAGCTGAGATCCTGCCATTGCACTCCAGGCTGGGCGACAAGAGTGAAACTGTGTCTCGAAAAAAGAAAAAAGCTAAACAGAGATTTCAAACAGAGGCACTAGTCATCTGCACTACTTCCAGGAGAGGGTTAAACTTTAAATATTCTTCATGTAATGAGCTGCCTCACATGTCACCCCCACCCCACGTATTTTATTACCACGATTTAGTAGAAAGAAGCACATGGCCATTCAGTCCAATTTCATTTACTTAACATGCAATTACATCATAGCCATAGGTGTCTATTTATTTGCCCATTAGTGGCTATGGGTTTGAGGGTACAATGAGTTAGAAGTTGTGATCTCCGTCTTAAAGTATTTAGGAAATGAATGAAACGGCGAGAGTACATAACGCTAGGGAATACAAAACAACTGATAGCCCATCTCAAGATGAAAGTGCCCCAAATGTTCTGTACTGTGTGAAGAAGAGGGGTTTGTATAAAGCAGCTGAAAAGTAGAACGTAGCATTAAGTCTGGATCCCAGAGGCTCCAAGTAAAAGGATGATCAGAATTAGGAGGACCGTCAAGGAATCATTCTTAAAGGAAATGAGACTTTTAATCTGAGTCTCAAGAAAAAACTCAGCATGAACCACTGAGCTAGAGGGGAGAGTATTTCAGAGAAAAACACAGCAGACAGAGGTGGGGGCGGGGGCAGATACAAAACACAGGCCCTGAGTGAGAGTCGCTGCACCTAGATCCCTGCAGAGTAGGAGCTGGGTGCAAGGCCAGCCTCTCTCTCTAAGCAGAAATTCTCCCTGTAACCGTTAGGGTCAGCTTGTGCTCAAGAAGCCTCTTGAATAAAGGCATAAAGACCCTTTTGTGTAATTTGTGCTTTATGCACTTTCTCCATGGCAGGGTAAAGAACGGCACAGTCCTCTGGTTCCCTGACATGCAGCCAGGGGCAGGCAGCAGGCACAGGGCATGTCTGGCAGGTCCCGTCGCAGGGCTGCCCCGCCTCCCACCTCTCCCACGGTCCACGGCGCAGGATGCGTTTCCTCACAGCACCCAGCCTTACCACCTGGCCAATGACACTGCTATGAGGAAATCCTGCCCCTTCCCCAAGCAATCTGCTTACCGTGAGCCTGTGATTAACCTCATTAACACATGTGTTTACCACAGACGTCATTAGCAGTCAGTCAGACATTACTCAGAAACATTAAAAACCACAAGAACAGCCATGACCCAGTTCAGTGCAACCAGCCTGGTGCTCCCCAGCTCTGGGCCTTGGGGAGCAGTTAGGCACTTTAGTCGCAAGTTAAATGCACACCGGAAATGAGGCTGACATCCAGAGGTCTTGTTCTTGGGTGCTGGGAGGGTTCCCCTCTGTGGCCCACTGTCCGAGGATGGCAGTCCAGGCCTCATGAGCCTGTGCAGGCCATTCCTGCTACTGCCTGGGGCAGGGAAATGTATATTCCTTTAGAAAGCTTCACAGCAGAGCTCTGAATTGGGATGACTGAAATAGCAGTTTCCTATCCCACAGCTGCCTCCCAGAAACTAATTAATGCTACAGATGCAGCTTGCTAATTATTTTCAAAATCACCACCATCCTGAGCAGTCCCTGTGGAGTCCAGCCACCTCTGCGAGGTCTCCCCTGACTCAAGTGGCACATTCCCCCCTCTCCTGGGAAGGGCAGCTCCAGGCAGAGCCAGCACACACGATTGAAAGTCTGTTTACCCACAAATTAGTTCAGTGTTTTTGTTTAACTCCAAAAGCTGTCAATTTTGTAATTATCGGAGACATAACTTCCAGACAGCCCTTGCTGCTCAGCCGGAGATTTCTCAGCCTGAGGTCCAAAGCTTCTCCAGGGGGATGTGTGGGTAGAATTGAAGAAGTCTTTAAATTTGGATGGGAAAAAATCACATATTCATTTGTACTAAAATGGATCTGAAAATTAGTACGCCTATTGATTATGAGGGCAGGCGGTGGCCCACAGCAATCCTGCCTGTTGTTCGTCTCCCTAGATGCGTCCATCTCACATCTCAGTTACTGCAGAGATCTGCTCGTCACTAACTCATAGTTATGGGACTTACTAGGTTTATAACAAAATATTTTTATGGAATGCATTTATCATGCAGCACATACATTCACTGATCACAAACTTATTTAATAATTCATTGCTGCGGTTACATGCCCTAGACTTGCTTTGTCACCCTGTATATGTTATTTTATGCATTCATTTAAAATATAATTCTGAGAAGGGGTCCATGATTTTAATATACTTCCAAAGGTATTTATGCCAAAAAAAAGTTAAGAATTTTCGAGTCAGACATACGGCAAGTGCTTTATAAATCTCTGCTGATTTCCTAAAAATACATATTAATATAAACAGTTCTTGACTTTCCTCACGACTGTATTTGCTTGCCTTTTTCCCAGCAGTCCGTGTAAAACAAAGGGGTTGACATTGGAGTTTTTATGGATTGCTCTTCTTTTTCTACTTTGAACATTTCAGGTTCTTATTTTCTACCACTGTCCCTTCTACAAGCAATACCCCTTCCTGTGGCCAGGAAAGAAGATCCCAGCGCCCTGGGCAAACACCACAAGTGTGCACAAACTCATCCTCTTCTTGGAGACCACTCTGAGCGAGCGGGTCCCACGCGGCTCCTTCCACGTCTCCCAAGCAATCCTCACCCCCAGAGTGAAGACCATCGCCCGGGGCTTAGTTGGGGGCCTCAAGAACACGCTGGTTCATAGGTAAGAATTTGCTTCCACACCACAAGGAAAGCTTTTTAAAAAGCATTTATATTGATTCTATTCGGAGTAAATAGCAATAAAACCATTTCGAAAAACAACAAAATAAGCAAAAAAAACCCTTCATGTTTGAGAAAACTGTGCAGTTGAGGTGCATTATATTCAAAGGGTCTCTAAACACTTTGTTCGTAAGTACACATTACACCATAAATACTGCGCTCTCCATAAGGCGGTAGATGATTTTTTGCTATAAGGCAAAGCACAGTGAGCCAGCACCATGTCTGTTCACTCCTGGCACCTGCCACATGTGCTCCTGCCTGTGCCTCGCAGCTGGCCCAGGCACTCATTTAAGAAGCATTAAATATAGACCACTGTCCTAGGTGCTAAGGATTCAGAAATGGCCCTTCGAGAATTTGTTCTGCTGTCCACAGTGACCATGAGTCACTGAAGAAGCAGCTTCACATGCCACCACCATGCCCATGCCGTAGTTTCAAATACATTCTCAGGGCAGAATCAAGCCTGACCATACAATGAGGGAGGACAAGCTTCAGAAATTTTGTATCAGATGGTGTTCTTTATCCTGGACACCAATGAATGATAGATGCTCTCAAGAAAAAGGATAGTTTGTGTGTGTGTGTGTGTGTGTGTGTGTGTGCACATATATGTGGGTATGTGTATATATGTGTCTATCTACCTGTACACACATATGTGTATATGCATATGTATAAAAGGAATGTCATATGCATTTGGATAACAGGGCATCCCTTGCAATCCAAGCTGAGGAAGCTAATATGTTTGGGTAGCAAAAGATATTTACAAGAATCAGTTTGTTCCCGAGTTCCAGGTTGATGAGTAGAGTTCAGGTAATGAAAGATTCATCCGAAAACATGTTTCTTTGTATTTGGTCCTGAGTTTGGGTAACATGAGTTCAGATAACAGGAGTTCAGATGGCAGGACTGCATTTTTCTTTCCTGGTGATGTCAACCATGGACAAAACCAGAAAGTCCTTTCTGTGTGGCTCTAAGTCTTGACTGACTTAGTTATGCTGAACTTGGAAAAGCGAATCTTATAAACCAGTACACTATCTCTTCCAAAGACCCAGAACTGATGCTTTCTTTTTCAATTATATTTAAAAACATATGTGTTTGTGTATCCACACTGTGTTCCTCATTCCCTGGTATGTTTGTAGGTCAGCATCACTTATATATTCATTCAACAAACATTGAGTACCTAGGAGGAGCTAGGTACAGAGATTCAAGATGAATAATACACTGTCTGCTGTCAAGAAACTCATAGTCTAGCAGCAGAAACTAGCATGAAAATCTCTATCAAGCAATGTGAAACATCGCTCTAAGGAAGTCTGTGCAGAGAGCAGCGCTAATAAGGGAAAGGGATATTTAAAACTAAGGCCAAGTTGTGTCTGTATACCATATTCTGAACATAAAATACCTTTTTGCAGATGATTTCATTTGATTCTTAAGTCAGCCTCTAGGATGGCACATTGTCTAGAGCATATTATCATCTCCTCTTTAGATGGGACTCAAGGAACTTAAGTGACCCCAATCCATACAGCTAATAAAAGTCATTGATACCTCTCAGACTCCAGCCTTCTGATCGTTAGACCACTGACCTTTTCAGCACCGGACAGTGACTTGGATACTGCATATTTTCGTGCTCTCCTTCCTTCCTTCCTTCCTTCCTTCCTTCCTTCCTTCCTTCCTTCCTTCCTTCCTTCCCTCCCTCTCTCCCTCCTTCCTTCCTTCCTTCCTTCCTCCCTCCCTCTCTCCCTTCTTTCCTTCCTTCCTTCTTTCGTCCCTTCCTCACCTTCTCCCTTCCTCCCTTCCTCCCTTCTGTCCTTCCTTCCTTTCTTTCTTGATGGAGTTTTGCTCTTGTTGCCCAGGCTGGAGTGCAATGGCGCAATCTCAGCTCACCACAACCTCTACCTCCCAGGTTCAAGCGATTCTCCTGCCTCAGCCTCCCAAGTAGCTGGGATTACAAGCATGTGCCACCACACACAGCTAATTTTGTATTTTTAGTAGAGACGGGGTTTCTCCATATTGGTCAAGCTGGTCTCAGACTCCCGACCTCAGGTGATCCACCCGCCTCGGCCTCTCAAAGTGCTGGGATTACAGACGTGAGCCACTGTGCCCAGCCTCATGCTTATTCTTTTCTGCTCCACAGGCCTGCAATTGTTTATTAGTACCTGAATCTGGTAATGTCTGGTACAGGTTACAACTGTCACAAAGCTTTTCATACCTGTACTTTCCTAAAAATTTAATCTGGATGCAAGTGAAACACTGGCTCTTTCCTTTGTGATGAAAGATGATGGTGTCGGCATGCACCCAAAGCCAAGGGACCCCACTATGCCAGAGCCCTTGCAAGCCCATCTCCCCAAGCTAAGGAAGATACTTTCCTTGGCATCTCGCCCCCTGCTGGCCACAAGAATATTACAGGTATGCGTCGTGGATTCCTATTCCTGCACATCAACTGAAGGAGGAAAATGCTGCTCTGGTTGAGTTTGCTCCAAAAGGCCAGTGCAGAGTGTGGCTATCATTTCCTCTGGGCTGTGGAACAAACATAGGACCTTCCCCTGAGTACCAACACCCAGAGGGTCTGTCCTAACTGGTTACGGGCACTGGTTGTCAGCTCAAACCAAGAAGAAAAAGACAGGGTATATTTTCTTACAAATGTAGAGGTGGTTTCTTGGCAGGGATTTAACCTCCTAACTCTTAGATAAATTTTGGATCTAAGATCTTGTTCATCTTGATTCAGCATCCTAGAAGGCAGCCACAAGAAATACACCCATTTGACTTAATCTCCATGCTGGTTCCCCCAGCCTTGTAGAAACCTGAAATCCAGGTTCGTGGCATTCCCACTGAAATCAAATGAAAACACTTTGCCAAAGCCTGAGCAATTCTAGTTCCTGTCTAGAGTTCTAGCAACCATGAACTCTAGACAGGAACAAGGGCTGAAATCAGCAGGCCTGAGAGTGCAGTCTGACATGCTCCCTGTTACAGGGTGCGTTGTGTCGTGCCCCATCCCACACCCACCATCCGCAAGTTCACATATGGAAGTCCCAACTCCCAGTTACCTCAGAATATGGCTGTATTTGCAGGTGGGGCCTTTAAAGAGGTAGTTGAGTCAAACCAGGATGTTAGGGTGGGCCCTCATCCAGTCTACCTGGTATCCTTAAAAGAAAAGGAAATTTAGACACACAAAGAGATATCACGGACAGGTGTGCACAGAGCAAAGGCCATATGAGGATGCAGTGAGCAGGCGGCCGTCTGCAAGCCAAGGACAGGGGCCTCAGGAGAAACGAAATGTGACAACGCTTTGATCCAGGATGCCCAGCTTCTAAAACAAGAGAAAATACATTTCTGTGGGTTAAGCAACCAATATGTGGTCCTTTCTTACGGTAGCCCTAGAAAACCCGTGCCGTCCCTGAGCAACAGGGTGGCCTCGGACAAGTTTTCTGAAGTCTCTGGGCTGTGGTTTTCTCAGCAGTTAAATAGGATTATTGATACCACATCAGATTGCAGTCTTGAAAATGCCAGCCACGGTGGCTGGTGCACAATATACATGCCATCCCTATTCGTAAAGACACCCAGAGACGCCATAGACCAGCCTTGTTCCCAGCTGGGCTCCAAGGCCAATGATAAGTTTTGAACCTCCTGCCCTTCCATCCATGGGAACTCAGGCGCCTGTCAGCACTTTTTGCACAGATCCCTTGTCCTGGTAAATACTAAGAGTTGAGAAAACCAAGGAGCTCCTGTTTGCAGTGTGTTCTACATTTCCGCTTCTTTGTGCTTATTTGATCCTTGCCTTGGAGAAGTTGACACATGCTACCCGAAGCTGACACAGAGCTCTTTGTCACCAGAAACCACAGGTACATACCTTTCCCAACTGTTCTCTGCTCAGGCTCCAGGGATCCTCCAAGATGAGGCTCCGGCTGCAGTGGCTGGAGTTGCCCAAGCCTTCGAGGCTCATTTCCCTGTGATGACCAGCAGAGGGCACCTGCCCCTCATGCTTCAACACCGACTCGGGCTTTTAAAATGAAATCCTGTATCCATCAGCTCAGGACTACTGTATCCTTGGTGTGGGTCACTGTGTATCCTTGGTCTGTGTTTAAGGAAGTCTGTATTTCCAGCTTCTCATTTCCAGACCACAACATTTTGTTACCTAAGCAGCAGGATGTGTCCTCTTTAAGGTATAGGTTCTTACTCCCAGCCACCAAATATTTCTACCTCACAGTCTTCCAGTTATGATTCCTTCCCCCTTTTTTTTGAGACGGAGTTTCGCTCTTGTTACCCAGGCTGGAGTGTAATGGCGCGATCTCGGCTCACCACAACCTCCGCCTCCTGGGTTCAGGCAATTCTCCTGCCTCAGCCTCCTGAGTAGCTGGGATTACAGGCACGCGCCACCGTGCCCAGCTAATTTTTTGTATTTTCAGTAGAGACGGGGTTTCACCATGTTGACCAGGATGGTCTCGATCTCTTGACTTCATGATCCACCTGCCTCGGCCTCCCAGAGTGCTGGGATTACAGGCGTGAGCCACCGCGCCCGGCCCCCCCTTTTTTTTTTTTAACCAGACTTACTATATCACAGGAACTCTTCTAAACACTTTAGATGTATTATTTTGTTTAATTCAGAAAAATTCTTTATGAAACATTACTATCGCCATTTTACAGAGAGAGAGGCAGAGGGACCGTGAAATTCAGTAAGCTAAAGTCATACTGAGATGACTAGGTCTTCAGCAGTCCCTATTCAAAATGGAAGTACTCCTGGGAGAGTGGTCTATTAAATCATCAGAAGCTATTAATATAAAAAAAATCGATTTATGATACGTGTTTTAGCCCATGGCTGATTACAGAGTCCACTGAGAGAGGGAGGAGACCTCGGACTGATTGTGGTTGTCATGGTAAGAGAAAAAGAAAGAGGAGAAGGACCAAATGCGACCAAGGCCTGAACAGGTTGTCTGGAAAACCGAGAAGTGCAGATGTGTGCTAAGGAGGGGCCGGCAGCGTGGAAGGAGCGAGGCAAGAGAAGGATGACAGCCAAAGGGAGTGGTACCCGAAGAAGAGACAGAGGCCAATTAGGATAATTAACTTTGCATATTCTCATTTTTGGCCTAGACCAGATCCTTCCTAAAAAATCTCTAGTTCTTTAAGCCCTAGTTTCTTCTGTCTTCGTGAAAGCATTCTCAGCCTATAGAGTATGTAGCGAGCCGTTTTTACTATGACGTAAACTGTGAGTATACTTTATTGCTTTCTTCTCTATGCTACCTGGGGCAATTTGTACTTATTACCAACGCAGAAATTATCACACTGAACTGTCACTATTCATTTATGTCCCTGAACAACTGGCTATCACCTGGGAAGCCTTTGATTAATAAAAACAATCAACTGATTAAGTATTGGTCTATTAAGAAGCCACACTTAGTGATTGAATAACTGTGTATCCATATGAAAAAAGTGAGCCTTGACCTCCTACTTTATACCATATACAAAAATTAATTTGAGATGGTTCTCAGAGCTAAACCTAAAAGCTAAAAACCCTAAAGCTCTTAGAAGAAAACATATTTTCAGGCCATGTTTGTAAATTAGGAGTGGCCTGAAGTGGCTTTTAGATCACAGAAGCCATAAAAGAAAAAAATGGACAAATTAGAATCCTTAAAAATTAAGGAATTCAACTCACAAAAATATATCACTGAGAAAACGGATAGACACGCTATATGCTAGGAGAAAATATTTGCAAAATGCATCTGACGAAAGACCAGTATCCGGAACATACGAATATTTCTACTCTCAACAATTCCTATAACTCAACGATTTTTTTTAATGAAAATGAGAAAATGAGTAAAAGAATTGAACAGATAACAGTTTTACTCATAATATCCAAAAAACTGGCGATAGCCCACGTGTCCCTCCAGCCAGTGGAGGAAAATGGATAAACCAACTAGTATATCCATACAATGGAATACTATGCATTGATTTGAAAAGGAAACAAACCACTGATACATGCAGGAACACAGATGAATTTCAGAACAATTATGCCAAGTGGAAGAAAAGTCACATGAAAGAATACATTTTTCATGGCTTATATTAAGTTTTAGAACAGACAAATCTAACCTACAGTGGAAAAAAGTCAGTATAGTTATTGCCTCTGGGAGGACGGGACAGTCAGTGATGAGAAAGGGCTTGACGGAAGTTTCTGGGGTACCGGTTATGTTCGAGACCTCGATATGAGTTTGAATTATGTGTGTGTATTTGTCAAAACTCAGCAAGTGTACCCTTAAGATTTGTGCGTTTTGTTGAGTGTAAATTTATGTTAAAAGAAGAGCAGATTAAAAACAGTTATTGAAGTCCAGTCAATCATATACATGCTGAAGTACTTATGGAATGCATATAGATGCTTGCAGTTGGAATATGTCAAAAATACAAGAAGGATTGATGGAAGGATGGTGACAGATTGATGGATAGATACGTGGTAAATTAGTATAGTTAATGGCAGAATCTAGATGGTAGATATGTTCTACCTGGAACGTTGCCATATGTTTGAATATTTTCATGATAAAAAAATCAAAGAACCTATCAAAGCTGAGGCTCTTGATCTTAGTTTTTATTTTCTTTTCCTTCCTCTCTTCCTTTCTCTTTCTCTTTCTTTTCTTTCTTTCCCTCCCTCCCTCCCTCCCTCCCTTCCTTCCTTCCTTCCTTTTAGACAGAGTCTCACTCTGTCACCCAAACTGGAGTGCACATCTGGGCTAACCACAGCCTCGACCTCCCAGACTCAAGTGATTCCCCCACCTCAGCCCCTGAGTAGCTGGAACTATAGGCATGCACCACCACACCCAGCTAATTTTTTGTACTTTTAGTAGAGACAGGGTTTCAGCTTCCCAGGCTGATCTCAAACTCCTCAAACCACAGGCATATGCCACCCCACCCAGCTAATTTTTTAGTAGAGACAGGGTTTCACCATGTTTCCCAGGCTGATCTCAAGTGATCCATCCACCTTAGCCTCCCAAAGTTCCGGGATCACAGGCGTAAGCCACCGCCCTCGGGCTGATCTTAGCAAGGTCCTGCTGACATGGTATGTCTTTGATGCTTGAAGCAACTAATCTCTCCTTCCAGCAAAGAAACCCTGAAAGTGTAATTTTCTAAGGGAATAGAGACCCCTTCATCCCTGAAGGAGTTGTATAACTTAAACGGAAATGCCTCTAAAAGCCGGCCCTTTTGTTATATTAAGGGAAATGTGTTGTGTCCGTGTCTGGAGAAGTCCTTCTAAGCTGTGCTGTGTCACTCTCTTCCTCCAACACTTCCCTCCGTATAGGAATCTTCCCGCCATCCTGGACTGGGTGAAAACTCAGAAGCCTGGAGCCACGGGTGTCAACATCATCACGTCTGACTTCGTGGACCTGGTGGACTTCGCTGCGACTGTCATCAAGTTGAATGACCTCTTACAGGAGGACACAGCTCTGGCTAAATGCTGAGTTAATTTTACATTTAACCTTAATGTTGATTTGTTGATCCAGGGTCGAGTTCTGAAGGGTGTCCTGTTAGGATGGCCCCTGGCAGTGACGATGAAGAGGAAGATGGCTTTTTCTCCCTTCTTCACAGGGCCATTTAGATAAAATATAGGGCTATTAATTGCATTTTTCCCAAATGAGACTTTTAAAAAAACTTAAGTCTAAGGGAAGAAAGCATGTTTCATGTGACCGAGGTCAGGACCTCCCCAGTGGTTTATGGTGGTGAAAGGAGTTTAGAAATAGGGTCTCTAGAACCTATTCGGGTACTGAGTGTCCCCATCATTTATTTGCCCAGCTCCCTGTTGTCTTCTGGCGGGTTGTGTTTGAGCCAGTGAGAAAGCTGAACCAGAAACACATTCCTGGTGAAAAAGACTGGCTCACTGCAGGTGTGGCCCACCCTCTGGGGTGGATCCAACATCAACCTGGGTCTCTGCGGGGGGAAAGAGCCAAGCACCCCTCTCTAGGATTGTTGGATGTCATCCCTTTTCTGAGAGAGTAGGACTCATTTGTCACTAAGATGTTTCCAACACAAGCTGTTCTTGTGTAGCATGTGCTGGTAACTGGTCACCTTCATCCTTGAGATGAATCGTGCATACTGCCCTTAGTATCAGAAATACGCTTCCTAGTTTTGAAACTTGGATTCCTATTTCTTTTGGCCCCTTCTTAAAGGTGAAAGGAACAATGATAGATCTTTTCAGCGTGGGGCCCAAGAGATAGACGTGCATGTTTGTCGCATGCCAGGTATCTTTATTTGATTCTACGCCTTTTTCCAGAATGGCTGCCAGGTAGAGCACCTGCATCATCCTGACAAAGTCCTCTTTGGAGTGGGGACTTCAAGCCTGATCTTGGAATTGCGTTTTATTATTGTCTGCCTAGGACTCAGGTCTGCGCTGTGGGACACAACGCTAAGTGGAAGGCACCTTATCCATGGTACCATGGAAGCAGGCACGGGATGCATGGGCAAGTGCAATGGCATTGAAGGAGGAAGCTCCAAGCGGGTTTGGAGCCATTCTGTACCTCCTTGAAAACAAGACTACCTCGGGGACATTTGGGATGACTCGTGTGTCACCAAGTGAGAAATACCTAGTGTTGGAACATTTCCGGTCCTTCTGTCGACGGTTCTACTCTGCAGGTTGTTTTGAGCCTACCAGTCACCACGGCGTGAGGGCTTTGAAACTCAAGAGGGTATTTTTTTTTAATTGATAAGAGGTGCTTATCTATAAAGAGCCCTCTTGTGTTTTGATCGGCTTATTTATTTATTTATTAATCCATCAAGTATCTCCCGTGCTGCTTACATCAGGGGCACTCACACAGGAGCTTGCCGGACTCCTCTCACCCAGGACAGATGCTGCTACAGTCCTCTCCTCAATAGGAACACGCATCTCAGGGCTGTGAGTGACCATATCCTGGCTCCCCAGTCCTCCTGGGGACAGTGTACATGTGTGGATGTTGCCCAGATCTGAGAAGCCACTACCAAGCCATGCCCGTGAAGGAAGATGAAATGGGTCATGAAGACCCCTGTTAGTTCATAGGTAGACCCCGGGAAGAGTGTCCATAAGGAAGGACCTAGAAACAAAACTAGGCATGGAAGTGTGTGCACTCTGATGCTCCTCTGCACCATCTGAGAATCCCTAAGGAAGTGACAGCTTCTGGATTCTTAAGGAGGAAATAAAAACATGGAGTCCCGAATGGATGTATGCATTTATAGAGACCGTCAGCCTCTTCTTCCCACTTTCCTCTTTCTGTCCTTTGATGCCCATACATGGATTTCACATGTTGCGTTGCAGAGAGCGGCGTCCTAGATGACCTGCTCAAAGCACATGCACACGCCCAACTTAGTCTTCCAGCCTATACTTCCTGTAAAGTCATGTAAGCCCTGGCTTTTAGCTTCCACGCCTTGAGGAAGTCATTACAGAAATGCGTCTGTGAAAATCTGGTTTTCTGGGATAACGTCAGGTTCTGCTGGCCTCCTCTGGGTAAGAATAAGAAAGTGTGTTTCGTCGTCTCTAAAATTTCCTTCCATGATGCTGTACCCTAATGACAAGCTCCGAAATCCCCGGTCTACCCTCAGGGGTTTATTTTGGTTGTTGTCATTTCATTTTGCTTTTGTTTGTAATTCTGGGTCAACTGCTAGGGGCTAGATCATTTACCCACATTTTACCCTTTGTTACTTGGCAAAGAGATGAGGAGGCAAGAGGAGAATTACTGTTCTCTGTTTTATTTGAGCCTCAGCTTTGTCCCGGTGTTGGTGCTATGAGGCCAGGTGTTTTGAGAAGTATCTACACAGGACGCCAGTAACACGCTAGGGCTGCTGACTGTTCCATGAAACGTTTACATGATTTTGTCCTTTCGTTCTTAAATATATGGTTGCACTTCACTTGGGCTGTAACACGTAAGTGCCCCTCAGTGTTTGCATGCTAAGTGTCATCAGGCTGACACAAAAGCCCAGAAAACTGTACCAAGGTTGCATGCACGGAGTCCTGCTCTGTGTGGTACCTGCAGGTGCTCGCTCCTTCACGCTGCTTGGAGCTGCCAGCCTTGTTTGCGACTGAAAGTCTGCACAAGAGTTCTGGGGGATAGAAGGAGGATCAGTTACAATTTTCCCTTGATAAACACCCTCGCATTGGCAGAACCTCTGCCTCAGGAAAAAGTTGTTTAGCATTTTGTAAAGGATGTGTGTGCCTTCTCCTTGACCACGAGGAGAAGTTCTCCAGACAGGAGAACTCAGGCACATGGGACAGAGGAAAATAGATTTTAGGTTCCTGACTCATTCTACAACTACCAACAATAAAATAGTGACCGACCACATCACTTATTCTCAGCTCTCGTGCTTGCTTAGAACTAACTTCAAGATCAGCCAAGAAGCTACTTGACTGAGCCAAAGAGGACTTCGATTTCACAGAGTTTTGAGGTCATATTTATTCTGAAATGTAACTGAGTTGTTCTTGAGCTCCCCGGACCACTTCCCACAAAGCCACATTTCCATGGCTTTGCGGCAGAGGGGACCGTCAAGGGGTTTAGTTACGTTAGGGTTGAACTTGGAAGCTTGTACAGATAACACTATGATTTCACGGGTACAGAAGCATTGGAGAGAGAGGTCAGGATGGACTTAATGGAAGGGAAGGAGAAGTTATTGAAGATTAAACTTTAAATTAGTGGCAGATCTCCAAGAGGGTGATGCCAAAAACTAAAGTTTTTATATTAAACTCAATAGTAATTAGGTTTAGTCATTTTCCTTAGCACTGAATCTAAACCCTGAATTACTGGGAGCATTTAAGCCACAGTTCCAGGATTTTATTATAAACTCAAAGGAAAGCACAAGATCTGAGCCCAGTAACGATCCATCCTAAGAATCCTAGTTCTTTTTACATGACCTCATATTCATCCAAGAAAAATATGTTTCTTCTCAAGAAGACAATACAGGAGACTATTCTGAAATTAAATGCAGTTTTATGGCATGTCGGGATGTTCTAGCTCTGGTTTTCCGAATCTTGCCTTGAGAAAGTGCTTCCCAATGAGACATTATTACCTCCCAGCTAGCAGGCTTAGCACAAAGCCAAAGGTGGAGCAACAGAAGAAATTCAGATGGAAATGAAACCACTTCTTCCTGGGAAGTAAAAGGGCTGCATGAAACCAGTGCATCTTACAGAGTTAGTTATGCCACAGTTGAAGTTTGTGTGGTGTTCCTTATTAGCTAATTTCAAATTTTTACTGTTAGATTCTAAGAAACAGAGTGGGCTAATGAATGGGGCACAGCCCTGAGACCCTGCTCTGTTACCTGAGCAAGTGATCCCCTGCTACATCGTTCTTGGTTCTCTCATCTTTAATAAAGATGCTGTCTGCTACTTTAGTGCTGTTTTGCAAATCTTGGCTGACCAGCTTCCCAAAACATAAGGTCCCTAATGATTAGATTGAATGCCTTCTACTCAGGGGGTGTGCAGAGGTGGGATTCTTCCCTCTGTGGCTTGTTTCCTAACGCTGTGATGTGGGTGACAGAACTTATCTGGGAACGGCATCTTTGATGATCTATATAATGAAATGTGTAGAGTGCAAAGAAATCTGTCAATATGTGTGTGGGCCCTTGAGAGGTGGGTTTTCCCAATACACACTAAGTAGGCTTGTTATGCCAAGAGGAAGCGAATAGAAATGAAAGCATCAAACATCCAAACTGACAGGAAGTCTGTTTTGCCCGGACTAGCACACAGTTGTCTTCTGAGCTCCACTGACGTTCCGGGACATCCCGGCCCTGCGCCTCAGGCTGCTGCCTGGGGTTCAGCCCCATAGCTTCGTCACTCACAACCACCGCATTGGAACACACAGACGTGGACTGTTGGAGTGGTACGTCATTTAGCTAGAAACTTTACCCTTAGTTTCAAATGATACCACACAACTCGTTACTACCCCAAGGAGCGCATTATCTCCATCGCTCTGGATTCCCCACATCCTTCTAGAAACAGGGACACTGGTAGCACTATGACCCTGAACAGGCCCTCACCCAGAAGAACACACTGCAAACTGTGATTGATTTTCCCAAACTGTCACCGTCTTAGACACTGTACAAATAGTTCAAGAGAACTCTTTCTCCCCTGCAGTGGATGTGGTATTCTACTATGTTCTCCCACACAACTTCTTAGGATTTTTCAAACTCATTTCTAAGCCAAATCGTTTAGATAAATATTCCCCTTATATTTTGGGGGAATTCAGGCTCACAGTATGCCGAAGCAAGCCTATCAGCAGTGTCATTCCTTCCCGTCTCCTTCACAGAGTACTCTCTCCTCTTGTCTCCTAGCTGACCACAGGATGCTGGCAAAGCTCACGGTGAAAGGCAAGGTGTTCAGTGATGTCCAGTGCACTCTTGTCTCTGTGGTTATTGCTTCTTAGCCTTTTCAAATGCATTCTTCTACCCCTCAACCTAATCCAACCATTAGAACTATACCTGGTTAGAGCCCAAAACTTGGGACCAATACTTAATTCAAATAGCAGGGGCTTGCTCACAAATGCTAAGCCCAAAAAGAAGCACAGCACTTTGAAAAGTCAAACAAGCCTTCGGTAGCGCTGTACATTTGCAATTTTACATTTGTTATTAGTTTATAGCACTAATAACACATCAGTCATGAATCTATAGGCTCAGTATAAGTCTTAGAACATATTCTAGATATAGTGGTACCTTGCTGCTATTACACTTAGCGATTTATACTCCAATATAATAATACGTATCAATACAGATCATGGATGCATTATTTGTGTGTATATGCCAACTGTACTACTTAACCTTACTGATTAGCAATTAGTGAAATACAGAAATTGTCAAAGTGAAAATAAGTCTTGGTCGATTCAGGTGATATGTGAACCTGATAAATGCTCTAATAGATATGCTATTTTGTCTTGTATTGCTTGTTTTACACTGTGGTGCATGTTGTTTGCTTAGTAAAATGATAATAAAGTATACCAATTTTAAAGTTAGAATTAAAATTTTGCATATATGCTGCTTGATACTCCGAAATGTATTCTGTGGCTTCGTTACCTTGTTCATATACATTTCACTTGGCTTTTTACCCGTAGGAAATAATTGTTCACGTCTATCTCTCCTCTTCTTTCTTGTAACTTTCATTAAACTGCTTTCTTCAACTTACAACATTGTAAAGCCAGAATACCTCATTCTAACAGTGAAAAAAAATAGATATGATGACATGATGTGGTCTCTTGTATTTGATTTGAACTGCCTAAATAGGGTTAAACCTAATAATAAATATACAATTTTGGCGGGCACTTTTCCTTTGTTTGGATGAATATTTTGTTGTCTGTCCACTTCTAATTTTGTTTTAAAGAGTTATAAACTCGGTGTCAATAAAATATCTTGTTATGTAATATTAGACAAAAACCCTCTTGGGCATGTCAAACATGTATCTGGATTAACTAAACGTGCTTGCAGTCCTCAAGATTGAGCAGTGTGTGAAATGTGTACACACCCTTGACCCCAAGCTTTGCCAAGCTTCATCTTTGGCACCTGAGTTATCTCCCCTAAGCTCAGACCTGCTCTTTTGACATCCGTACTGACACCCACACTCACCTGACCACCATCTCTACCCACCCTAATTTCAGTGATTGCTAAAATGCCCAGAAATAAAGCAATGCAGACATAATGTACTTGTGCATACAAAGATTAAATAAGGGTGGACTGCATTTCCACTGCAATGAAGATTCCAGTATCTTCCTCATTTCTAATTCTTTTTAATAGAATATCCAAGCCCACTTAATTTTAGTGGATTCTGTGTTTCCCCTATACGTGACAAAAATAATGGGTTGAGGTAAGGTTTTTTGGTATGAATTTAGCAGAGATCAAATTAATTCTAACCATCAATTTCTTGTAGTCAAAGGTTAAAACAGGTAATTAAGAATAATTATAAGCCTGTTGAAGTTACCATAGCAATTTAACAACATAATCATATTCAGAATTTTTAACTGTAGTCATTCCTGTTCAGTTTTTAATAGTAAATTGCATGATGTAGGTAGAGCTGGGTCCAAACGTGAGCAAAGCATGTATAACCTGTGTGGTACAATTGCAAGGATGCTACTGGTCTGCCTCAATCTCTAAACATCTACTTGGGTTGAGACATTGCTTCTATAACAATGGAGCGCTCACATTATGTATGAACTCTTTACATCTAATCATAGTAATGTATCATATTACAACAAGGTTATAAACTTCTATTTAACACAAAAGTGTAGGCATTTCAGAAGTGCATGGACCTGAGTTTCTCTCCCAACTCCATATCCTGGCTGAGTAACCTTAGGCAAATTAACATCTCTACTCACATAGAAGATACAGCTAAAAACACCTACCATGAAGGATATTGAGAAGACAAAATAAGAACATGCATAGAAAGTATTTTAGCACATAGCATGGCACATAGGAAATACTCAATAATAGCTATTAGTAATGAGGGCAGGGATTTTGCACCCTCCTTCAAATGGCACCCAACACAATCCCTTCGACATGATTGCTAACCTTTGTGTTGATTCGTAGAGGATTTAGCAGGAACTAACTAATGAAAAGTAAGTCGATGTAAATGTGGACAGTGAAAGAAGATGTGAAAGCTCTTTGTGTGGCAAATTCTTGGGGCTTTGCCGTGGAAGGTCAAGGCAGCTGGATGGTGCTGAGTGATTAGACTTGGTCCTTCGTTTCTCTCTCTATCTCTGTGTGTGTGTGTGTGTGTGTGTCTGTGTGTGTAGGTTAGAGGGCGATAGTTGTTAGGAGCAAAGAGAAGAACGGTGTGAGGAAGACACTAGAGACAAAGCCCTGGGCTTTGGCTGTTGGTGTTTTACACCTCTGGCTGCTTCCTAATCTGGAGGTACTCACATTAATATGTATTTCTGGACCTGATCCCTGAAGATTATGATTCTTTATATGTGTTTTGGTGTATAACCAGTTGGAGAATTGTTGAATCAGAAATGCATTACTCAGAGAGCGGCATTTATGCCACGGTGGTATGCAGGTATGTGGGGTGGAAGACGGCCATATCCTTAAGTAGCATTAACATCATCCATCACTTAATCAGGCCTGATTAGTCAAGAGGGAAGTCTCGGTTTGGTAGTGAAACCTCTCTGTCCTTTGCTATCAACCAGAACCAAAAAGGCAACAGTGTGTAGCTAACATGTCATCTCATTTTGTTTGTATTGTGTTTATGTTGTGGTTACCTTCTCTTTGTAGCAGGTAGTCCTAGGTTTTCAATAGTGAATAAAGTCCCCTTTCAAAGTAAATCTATCTAAGTTTTTCAAAGACCCCACTGTGAAGAGCTATGAGAATGACCCAAGTTTATGATCCTTTCCAGGTTGAAAAAGAAATACAGTGATTCTACCACTCATTTTTGCCTAGAATTGGGTTTGACTTGCTCTTTCTAAATATTACTTACTAACTAACTACATAAAGAAACTGCTATTTGAAACAGAAAATTATCTCTGCTTTTCATAAGGGAACTTCCTTCATGTTTCCTTTGGAAGTCCATGCTCAGATAATCTCTTTCTATGTTGTCCGGTACAGCATTTAAACTAGGGAAAGAAGTCACTGAGTCCTACCTATGGCTGAGCTTGGCAAACAAGAAACGCAGAGCAAACTCCATTTCTTCAACTTTGAAACTGATTCCTTCTCTGTTAATCCTCCAGGTCAGGGTGCCTGAATGTCCTGGATTTTTGTTATGTTTTTTTGCAAAGGAATTCTTCCTGATCAGCAAGAAGTGATTGTGTTTACCCCTCTGCAAATCTGCTCAGTATGACCAAAGCAGTGTTATTATTTTTAAGACTTGAAACTGTTCATTCTCAGAGAGGGTGGGAGGCTGCAAGGGAGGGACAGTGTGGCCAAAGCCCATGTGCCTCAAACCTCACCCAGGATGGCCTGGACAAGTGCCAGCGAGACAAAAGCACCAGTCAGACCAGGCTGTTTTCACAGCTGGCCAGTGTTTGTGGACAGCATGGGTGGGGAGGAGGCCACAGCAGTGTCAGCCTCTGTCCAGTAGCATCAGGCAATTGAGAGGAGTCTTCGACGCGCAGATGACTTTCATCTAAGGAGCTAAGCATCTAAAGAATAGGATTTATCCTGTAGAGAAAGGCTATAAGGAGCAAGGTTCTTGTTCAAGGCAGCCACTGAATGCTGTTTTTTGTTTAACCTGAGAACGGAGTGCTTTTTAGCCTGCAGGCTTTCCTACCTTGATCCTCACTGGGCATTGCACAATCCAGTTGCTGGAGGTGTTTCTAGGACCTCCATGAAGTATAAGGAGATCTGGAAGAAAACATTAGGCTGCCTTTAGCAAAAGCTTCCCCCACCAACCACTTCTGAGTGTAGAAGTGACTTACCACACATCAGAGGGACCAGCGGACTACTTCAGGGGGGCTGGACTCCCAAGACGACACGCACAATCTTAGATGTATGTGCACTCTTTTTCTGGTAAAGGACCCATAACTTGCATCAAATTCTCAAAGAATTTATGATCTTGAAATGTTACAAGCCACTGCCTTTCAAGCACCTATGAGAATGCATTATCATTTAAATGTTGTTAAGCAAGCTAACTAGGCTAGCACTCGAAAGTCTTGGTCCTTCCTATTAAAACAAATCTAAATTAAGATTCTCGTAGAACTGTTCACTGCAGGTGCTCTGTTTCAAGAGGTAAGGTCAAATCCAACAGCATGAAAAGAACAGACTAAGCCAAGTTCAGAGGATCCTGAGGTATAGTCAGATGGCACCCAGCAAGACAGCGTGGTCGGGAGAGCCAGCAGAACCAGGCACACTGGCAGATAAGAAGTGGCAGGGGCACTATGTGCAGACTTGGGCACCTCATTTCAGAGGGAAATGGGTAAAATGGAGCCTTCTTAGAGAAGAGTAACTTGGAGAGGGAAGGATCCAGAAGTCATGTCACATGGAAAACTAGGGTAGCTGGAACAGGAAACATTGGGAGCGATGTAACAGCGATCTCGTCAAGTAGTTTTAAATTGTCACATGACTTGAGTTTAGAATCTTACGGCTTTGTATAAAGAACATTTGTGCAAGGCATTAACGTTATAGAAGAGAAAACTGAAAGCCAGAGAGAAGTGACTGGCTAAGGCAGACATGGGACTAGAATCCAGATTCTGATTCCCTTCCCAGGGCTGTCTGCCACCATTTCCAGCTGCCTCCCTGAGTGCCAATGAATGACCATTTCAAGAAGGTCGAGCTTAGCTTCATAAAGAGTATTCCTTTGTAGAACAGGAAGCTAAGTGAGACAGAGAGCTCACCATCATAAAGAGCATTTCCGAGGGAATGTGTACTCATTCCCTATAGTTCCTAGAAAAAATTTACCACAAACTTGGTAGCTTACAACAGTACAAATGCATTACCTTGCAGGTCTAGAGTAAGAAGTCTAAAATGGTCAGTGGGGCCATGCTCCTTCTTGGAGGCCCTAGAGGAGAATCTACTTCCTTGCCTTTTCAGCTTCTAGAAGCAGCCTGCATTCCTTGGCTCATGGCCCCTTCCTCCACCTTTAAAGCCAGCCGCATAGCAATCGCTGACCCTGCTTCTGTCATCACACCTCTTTCTCTGATTCTGATCTTTCATAAGGACCCCTGTGACTACATTGGGGCCACCTGGATAAGCCAGGATAATCTCCCATCTGAAGATCCTTAACTTGACCATGTCTGCAAACTATGTTATGTTACTATGTAACATAACATATTCATAGGTTCTGGAGGTAAGGATGTGGATGTTTGGTGGGGCTATAATTCAGTCTGCCACAGAACATAGCGTGGAAGGTTTACTCGTGCTCGTGCAGGTCTTAGAGCAGATCTGGATTCAGATCTTGGCTTCAGCACCTACTAGTTGCATGTCCATTACCCTTTTGAGCCTGAGGGAATCTGTTCTCTTTCTGGGTCCACAAGGCGGTGTAGTTTTAAGGGGAAGAACTTCCCAGCACCACGCCCCCTCCCATCTCTCTCCATCTGGGAGATTCAATGGTTTATGTTTAAATTCGCAGGTGTGGGAAGAAACTAAGAGTCAGTCACTCCAGTGGAAGTTCTAAGGAACTCCTTTCATTGGCCTGGGGTCTTAGAGAAGGCGGGGCTTCCTCCCAGGTTAAAAGCCCCCTTCTTCCACACCCCTTCGGACTCCATGTTTGGGTCCCTTCCAGGAACACTCCCTTTGTGGAAGCCATCCTTCTCTCTCCTGGATTTCACCTCTGGGATCCCCTTCCACGCTCTCTCGTGGAAGCCTGTCTTCCCCTCCTAAACTCCATCTTTCTCTGTTC